TGCCCATCAAGATCGCGCCCCGCTCCTGGGCGCGAGATATATGCTCGTTCGATCTCGCGTACGCGTAGGAGACGTACTGTGCACGTCCGCGTGATCCCAGACGCGCACGACCAATTCGCCTCGACCCAGAAAAACTACTCCTACACACGCACGCCATCCCAGCGTGTCCCTAGCGCCCGTCTGCTAGATCATGCCAGCCGCGCGTCACGCCTAGCGCCCGACGCACACCTACCAACCATCTGCGCCCGTCCGACTGTTCGCGAGAGCCAACCGCACCCGCCTGCGATCGCCGTTCGCGACCAGCGACAAGGACACTACCGAGCCGCTGCGACCTGACACCGAAATGACCCGACCCTGATTCCGTGCTTCGTTCAACAACTCAATTAGGATCGATAAAATGCCAAATCCGGCAGCCCATCGGATTGTGGTGTTCAAACGAACTTCATCAACGTTATTCAGAATCATCTCTGAGTCGGTTAAAAATTTTAAAAGATAATGTCCAGATCCTAACTATCAATTCTGCTGCGTTAGGATTTATTTCGATAAGTTCAATATTGTGCATGTCGTTGACGTTAATAATAGAACCCAACATTTGGGGCCCGGGTTTGGTTGTTATATAGACGGTTTCGCAGTTTAAGTAGTGGTTCCTTGGCTTGGGTTCTTCTTAAGTTGATTGTTACTCTGCCGACTTGGGATCGTTGTTAGGCCGGGGAAGGGCCTAATCAATTGTTTTTTAGTTATTTTAGTTTTTGTTTTGTTTTGAGTCTGTGTTGTGTTGTTTTTGGTCTAGTTTTTTTTTTGTTTGGACCATTGGCCTAAGTGAACCCGACTGTGTGTGGGTATTATCCCTTAGGGAGCATTCCTATTCTCCCGTGGGGAGCTTTATGTGTGGTTGGTGTTTGTTGTGTTTGTCTCGTCGTGAGTCGTGTCTTTGGTTTCTAGCATTGCTAGTGTCGGATTTAGGAGGTCTTAGGACTTGTCCTTCCAATTTAGTTGTTGGCTGTTTAATTCAGTTAGGGGCTGTATCTTTGCACTTTGTGCGTTTTTGTTATATAAAATCTCTATTGTTTCGGAAAAAAAAAATAATAATAACCCTAATTTCCAAATCGGAAGCACAAAAGTTAAATAAAAACCATAATTTCCTAATCAGAAGATATCGGATTTTCCTAATTTAATTTCCAAATGAAGTAATCGATACTTGACCAAAAAACCCTATTTTCGAAACCGCATAGCATAAGAACCCTAATTTTAGGAATGCAACTATTGGCTTCCAATGTAGTAAACTTTAATAGTCAAGGATTCGATAAGTACCTTATGCGCCATCGATCTTCGAGAAGAAATTCGCAGCAAATGGAGAACCCTATCTTTGGCATATCGAAGATTTCTCCTCCAATCGGCTTCAACATTCAAGATGAGTAACACCTCTGTTATGCACAATCGATACTTGTACAAACTAAAAGTTGCAAACAGTAACATTTTGGACAATCGTGGTCATAAAATATGGAATTTTATCGCGATGAAAGTGAGAGAGAGAGAGAGAAAGAGAGTCGAGGTTTGAATATTTTTCGTTTCATAGATAGTTGGGTGGGACTTCTCAAATGACAGGTGCATAACGAGACGTTTGAAAAAAATGTAACGGTGTTAGCACCCAGACAAAAGTTGGGAAGCGTCTGCTGCCCAAAGTACAATACAAGGAGGTGATGACGCAATTTTTAAATTACAACGGGATAACGCGCAGATTTAGTATAATATAGGAGGATTTGGTGCAATTAACCCTTTTTTTATCATTTCTTTTTTTTTTTTATTTTGATTTCTTTCCATAATGAAATTCTTGTAAAATATATTTTCATTGCAGAGTATGCTAAATAAACTATCAATCCTTATAATGCAAATTAGAAAATCTTGATTATGGAAGTGATTGCGTTTTTGGCATTTGCTAAATCAAAGTTGTTTAATTAGTATACAAAATTAAATTTAAAAAAGAAAACATGTGTGTATGTTTTATAAAATATTGATACACTATTTAATTTTAAAATTATTTACGTATTTTAAATTTATTACATAAATAAATAATACAAACGTGCATTGAATATTTTTCATTACATAAAATAAAAAGAAAAAAAAAAGACGTACAACTTCTATTGGTGCTAAGTAAAACTGTCATTTTTTCTTATATCAAATAATAAATATATATGCTAAAATCAAATATATATAAGTATTAATGTGTTAGTGAGATAACATATTAATTATTTTACAAGTTAGTTCTAACATGCTCATAATATTCAGGCTAAAGACACAACGTTATTTACAAAAGGTGGAAAATAGATGATGCTTGTATTGCTTTTTAGACTTAAATGGATAGAACATGTAAAATAACTCATTTAATATATTTATCTCGTGCATTGCACCGGGTACATACTAGCAGAAGAGAATTTTTTGTCATTAATTACATTAGTTATTACTAGGGTGAATTTCCGTCCTGCAACAAGGGCAGAGGGCATTAGCCATTATACATGGCACCAAGCACTTGGTGTGGAACCTATGAGCACACGGCAGCTGCATAAAGCTCCCCACCCCCAATTGCTCCAAGCACACCGGACATTCACCTTCTTCACATGATTTCCATCTAACTCTCAACCAACTCCGCCTCTTCATCAATATTAATCCACTCCTCTTCAAATTATTTGGCAATTCTAAGCTTGAAAATGTGCTGAAAAGTTGAAGAGTGTTCTATTTCACGTAATAAATTATTTAAAATAAAATAAAATTGCTACACTAACCAAAATTACAATCTGGTCTTAATTAGAATCTAATTAAATACAAAATAAAATTTAATATGTATAATTTATACCTGTTGTTTTTATGTGATCTCTGTTTTGGTTGAAACCTCTCATCCAACCTCTTCTTGGCTTCTCTTGCAGCGTCACCGAGCCTGCTTTCATCATCACGCATCATCGTTTCATTCCCCAGCTGCCTAACTGTCGGATTCCTGATTTTCGGCTAATAAACAAAAGCAGTCATAAAAATCTTTACACAAAATAAAACTCCTAACATCATAATCAACGTGAGACGACTCATAAGTAATATTCCAACATATTTACCTGGGGAGAATTAGAATGGGGGTTGTGGCTAATAGCGTGCAGACAGAATGAAGAACGCCGGGATGACGTGGCAGCTGGAGATTGGTGGGCGCCATTATTGGTTATGTGAAATCTCCTCCTTCTGGCGGCTTCAACTCCTGGCAGCATACCAGCCATTAGTCGATAAAAGAAAAAAATGTGAAGTTTGTACTTAATGTTTTGCAGCGTTTTTCGGGTGCTTTCGAGGAAACTAATTGAAAAGGATGAGGTAATAAGAAGATTGAAGGTGTGCCACTGCTACTGCCTAATAATTGAGATACTTTTTGTGGACTTGTCTTTTTCCCTAAGTGTGGTGGTGGTATTTGGCAGAGTCATTTAACCTTTCACGTTTTTATGTTTTCCAGGAGGAAAATTCGTCGACATGAGAGCGAGCGTAATTGAATGTTGAAAGAGATCGTGGTGAAATGGTGGGGACAAATGGGACAATCGGAGGTAACTGCGTGTCCCATTTTTTTATTTAAAATGATTTTTTAGAGGCTCGAATAATTAGATAGTCGTGTAGACATTATAGATGGGGGTTTTATTTATTTTAAGAAAAAAAAAAAAAATGATTTGCTAAATACCACATGGAAATTACTACAACCAACCCTACCCATCCGCCCCACTCTCACTTCTCTCTCTCCCTCTTCAATTCAATACATTGAAAAAAAATATATATATATATTCAAAACAAAAAATCAAAAAACATTTTAATTACTAAAAAATCCAAGAAAAATCAAACAAATGGTCGGAGGACAACATCGACACGACAAGGAGTGCACGATTCCACGGGTAATTTTTACAATTTTTTTTTATTTTTTTTATTTTTTTTTAAATGTGTCGGCCACCTATTGCGGGCGGTTTCCTAGGTGCCAGGCCGCGATTGCGGCCGTCCTTCGGTCAACGGGCCGCGTAATGCGGCCAGTATTTTTTTTTTTTTAGTGTGCCGGCCGCCAATCGCAGCGGCTTTTCATTGTGCCAGTCCACGGAATGCGGCCCGTAATTTTTATTTTTTTTTTGTGAGTCGGCCGCGGATTGCGGCCTGAATTATTTTTTATTTTTTAAATAAAATAAATTTTGAATATATTATTACTTAATATATATATTTTAAATATAAAAATATTATTTACAAATTTTCATATATTAAATATATTAATATATATTTATTTTGTGTTAAAAATATAATATATATTAGTATATATTTTTCGTATATATATTTTTTATAAAAATATTAATATATATAATTATATTAATCTATTTATAAATATTAATATATTAAATTAAACTTTTCGTATATATTTTTTGTTTTTTTAGTTTATTTTTTTCAAATTTTTATATATATTTTATATTTATAATATATTAATATATTAATATATTTATATATAATTTTAAGAATATAGTATATATTAATAGATAATTATATTAATATATAATTAGGTAAATGTTGGTAAACAGATTTGATCAACCTTTTAAATATAAATCTTCGAGAATAATGCGAAAATGAGGTGATTTTATTAGTTAAACGGGATATAATTAAGAACAGTTTCAAGTCGGTATTTCAGACTTGAAGTCGGGTTTTTAATAGTACAATAAGTCGGCTGTGAGCGATGAGTCGAGGTGCTTTTAATGTAGAATTTAATGTGCCCAAAAGGATCCTCGTATCGAGTTTAATGCTGCTATTTATAGTAACTGTGGACTCGTCTTTTTAGGAGATACAGCTGTATTAATGCGGTGTGACAGGGCGCAGGCTTTTTCTGCAGGTGGGCCCCTCAGCAATGATGTTCTCACGTGGCTCTTGGACATCTGATGGACAGGCATTTAATGCTGCCTGTCGGTACCGACGTCAACCCTCTTCTGAGTCCCCATTAATGATGAGGTCGGTCCCCTGAAGAGGTCGGATTCCGCAGCTCGGGGAGCTTTCTATTTCCTCTCTTCGGAGCGGCTCTCTATCTTTCCCATAGTCCACGTGTCGTTCATCCGTCGTGCGAGAAGATTCTTATGTCAACATTGAGGCCCCTGACATTGAGGGGGACATGTGCTTTGGTCCGCCTTAATGTCACTTTTTGTTCCTTGTCGATACCTCCTACTATGGGGCTTCAACCGACTTCCCGCCCTTAGTCGAAAATCATTCCATCTTTTATGAGAAACTCGTAGTTTTCTTGATACGGCGCATGGTATCACGGAACGACGCTGTAACATCCCATGTACTAATTAGTAATAAATATCAGTTTATTTCCAAGATTAAGCTATTTTTGAGGCCAAATAAGTTAAGATTTTGAAGTTTTAAAGTCACACGGGTCGTGTGACCGACAGAAATTTCAGATTTTTATGACTCGAGTTTGGTGCCAACTATAGTTCATTTTGAGCATTTTATTAAGTATGGATGATTTTTTCAAGTTAAGAATTGATATGTTTAAGATGAATAATGTTTATAAGTTTTGAATTATTTATTTTGATAATTATTTCACTCCAAAATATTTTATTCCAAAATTTTTCCTATAAATAGAGGGCTTCAAAATCTAAATTTTTACACCAAAGCAATATTTCAAAGTTATATAAGTTCTTTAGTAGTAGAAATGATAGTAAAGTGAGGTAATTTTGAAGTGAAGAATCAAAGTTTTCAAGTTCAAGTTCTAACATGTTTTCAAGTTCAAGTTTTCAAGAAGGAGGTAATTACTTATCTTAACTTCATGTTTTATATGAGTTAAATAGTTATTAGCATGTATGTTAAAGTTGAGATTATAATGGAGTTTATGAATTCAATGAGTTTAAGTTATGTGTAATAATATGCATGAGAATAAGAATTAAGTTGTTTTAAGTTGAGATATAGATTGAGCATTTTATTGGATTGAGTTTAAGTTGAATAGAATTTACATGCTAAGTTAATATGAGATTTTATCACCTTGATTACATGTTAGAATGTATGGTAAATTTTTATAAGTATTTCTTGTGTAGATGAGGATTATATATGAACAAGAATTTAGTTATTTGGCATGTTATAATTTGAGATAAAGATTTTGAAGGTAGCATGTAAAGTGAATTTCATGATATTAAGTTGAGAAATGAATGTGTTATTAGACGACATATATGATGAATTTCATAAAGTTTCAAGAGTAATTGGTATGAATTTCTCATATGATTAAGTGATGAGTAAAGTGATCAAGTTTTAGTTTAACATGTTAAGAATACAATTTTATAAATTTTTTTAGTCTTGCATATTAATATCATGATTTGATGTTATGATTAAAAGTTGTATGGTATGAGAATTAAGTTATAATTTTTATTACCAAGCAAGTTTAAGACAAGTTTAAGAGTTTATAAATCATGTATTTGATGATTGGTATAAGTTGAATATGTTGAGTTATTTTTCACTTATAAGTTATATGAGAATAAGTTAATTATTTTAAAGACATGATTTATATGACTATTGATTGAGTTTTAGTTGAATGTGTTAAGAAGACAATTCTATGAATTGTTTCAAGAATAGTATATTGATATTATAATATGGTTTTGATGAGTTTTAAGTTACCATTTTTATTTCTAAGTAAGTTTAAGATGAGGTTTGAATCATGAATTTATGTATGTGGAATTTAGTTTATTTTCACTTTTAAGTTATTACATGGTATATGACTTTATACCAATATCTACGTTTTAAAATCATGATTCATATGATTTAAGTTCGGTATTAAGTAAAAGTTTAAGAATTTAAGATGTTCAATAAATTAGTGTTCATTTGAACTATAGCCGAAATTATCTTTAAGATTCGGATAAGTTATCAGTTAAAGTTAAGAATCCCAAAGTACTATTGAGAATACTATGAGCATAGTACTTAGTAAATTTGTTTATATTTTTATGTAGTTGCAGATACAACTACCAGTACAACACTTACAGTTTTCAAAAGTTTTCAAGAAAGAAAGGTGGGGACCCAGCCTGGGTATTACATTGAGTATAATAACTATTATCATGTTCGAGGTATGCATAAAGTTAAGTATTAAGCTCGCTCAGTCAAGACTGGGTTCTGAGGGAGGCAACCCCCAGAATGTGATCATGTGAGAACTGGCCCAAGTTACCGGTAGTTGCAAAGTGCAAGTTAAAGTTATCTGTCAGATACCGGGAGATTAAGCTCAGATATATACCAAAGATCATGATATTGATATTATTATTGTTGTTTACTTTAGTATGGGTTTTTACGGAGTACAGTGGATTAGTACTCACGCCCCACTATTATCATTTTCAGGTAACAGGGTCGGTGCAGAGGTGTGGGATCAGCTATGGTGGTGTGGATCGAGAATTTGGTTCATTTGTTATATTATGATCTTTTAATAAGGTTTCAGTTTGTGTTATACCATGCTTATAAGATTTCCGCTACGTCTTTCAGATATTGAACATGTATGATAGTATTTTAAAGTTAAAAGATTTATCAGTTCAGTTTTCATACATGTTCGATAATTAAAATCTGTTTTATTATATCTAACCAGTTGTTAGACCAAGTTTTGAGAAGACAGATTTTAAATTAGATAAGTTTTAGTAGCATCCCGAGCTAAGTTAAGAAGATTTTGAAAAATTTATAAGTATTTTCAAAATAAGAAGATGCGAAAAAAATTGACTCTGATAAGCGGGGTGTTACAGTTGGTATCAGAGCTAAAGTTCAAACGCTCTGTATACTAAAAGTTTGAGTTTCAGAAAGAAACTTTTCAGGAAAAACCGACCACACCACGCTCACACCTCGCCGACTACCAGGTAAGTGCTGTTAAAGTTTTTGCAAAAGTTTATTTTCTTAAATATATGCAAATTACTAAGTCTATGCTCAATAAGATTCAATTATCCGAACCTTATAAATCAGAATAAATGCTCAGATCAGTAATATCAGAATTGTCCTCATATCCGAAATCAGAATTATAGTTGAGTTATAGCTTACCGAGTTGATAACTTGTCAAGAAATTGTGCTTTTCAAGAATTCATTATTTATTTTCAGCTAAGATTCAAGTATACAGATGGCACTCTGTAAAGTTTCACAAGAGATATTCATTCAGATATAGTTGCTATTTTTGTGACTATTATTTTCTTTAAAGTTCGAAAGTCAAGAAAGTTATCTGAACATTTTAAAGATAAGACATCAGATTAAAGTTGAATTCTGA